TGGGGGAGGGGGGATGGGTTAAGAACAAAAGAAATTGTCTAGATGATCTCATCTTTGTTCAGGACCTCTCGGATTCTGACTCGTTAAATTAACTCTGGGCATTTGCACTAGGTAATAAGGTAGCGTAATGAGGGTCTCCCAGCAAATGGGAAGCAGAGAAACAAAAACAAAGGATGAAGCCCAATGAGGAAACAAGCCTGCAGCTCCTGAGTACCACGAGCAGTGAAGTCTGGGTGAACAATGGGGAGGGCATCTCTGGGCAGGTGAGACCTGGATGAAAATCAAATATCCCTTCTGTGGAGCCTAGCCAGTGACATCCGGTTTCTAGTGTTCAATGGTACTGCTGGTCTAAAGTTACCAGCAAAGCCAGAAATGCCATCAAGGATACAGCAGTGAGACTTGGAGAGTCATGGTTGGGTGCCTGCTTCCCAACTATGTGATGAGTCCCAACTTCCGAGCTCAATCATCCCCAGGCAGTGGAACTTGGTGGGAAATCTGGAAGAGTAGGGGTGCCTGTTTCTGGTTGCCAGAATGACTGACGGTGGGGACCCGAGGAGGCTGAGGCATCTCCTGCTGGATGAAGATGGCACCACGGGGTAGCTGAGTACATACAAAGTCTGTCTGTAACCATCTGACTTGGAGTCTAGCTGTGTTTCCCAAGCCTGCACAGATTCAAGAACCAGGAGGTTTGCGGGAGTGTGGTGCAACCTGCCCTGTGAGTGAGGCTGTCAGATCCCGTAAAGACTTAGAGTTGTCGAAACCCTATCTATCTCGGATCACGATGAGTTGACAGAGTCAACTTGATGGCAGTGTGTTCGTTTTTTGGTTTACTCCGACCTTTAATCTTTCATCGAGTGCTACTGGAATGTTACCTTCTTTTATTTTTTAATGGAAATTCTTCTTGGTGGATCAGTTTAGCCTACCTAGCTCAGCTTCCACCTCTTGCAGCAAGCGCTCTCTGCCTAGCTCACCCGCAATGAAATGTGGCTCAGATTAGAAGGAACCATGGGGTGCAGACAGAAATGCACTTGCACTTTCCACACTTTCCTGGGTCCAGTTCCTGGGAGTTCCTGGCACTACTGCCCTTCCTGGACAGGGAACAAAGCCAGTCAAGAATACCTCGGAGTTCTAGTTGTATGTTCTGTCTGGCTCTCTGGTGACCATTCCCAATCCCTAGTCACTTGATCCCCTGGTTCTAACACTTCCTGTGAACTCTGGGGGAGGGAGACTGTGGGCCGCTTTCATGCTGTGCATCCCAGTGTCTGATCCAAGGCAGGAGCAAGAACCAGATGGTGGAATTGGAGTTAGATGATGGCTTTGGCCTTCCAGACTCCAGGATAAGTTCCCCTTCTATAAAGACCCTTGTGTCTGAGAAGGCAAAACTTCCCACTAGGTTCAAATCCTCTCCTTTCCTCACCAATATGTGCACGTGGCAATTGCTGTGTTTAGCGTGAGTTCCCTGCCTGGTTTGTTAATGGCCATGCTGAATTGCCTCCGGAGAAGAGAACACAGCGTAAGCTAAACTCGCAAGAGGAGAAAAGCGATTCTTGGCCAATGATCAAGATGAGGGATCAGATGGAGCCAGGTTCAATGGCAGTGCCAAGATGGAGGGACACAAGCTGCTGAATGTCAGGCTCTCCCTTCTACTGCTGACAACAGTCGAGCAGAGCCATGACTTTCTGCCTTGCATGCCCCAGGCAGAGCAGGCCAGGATGTATACACAGGCCTCCCAGAAGCGGTGGGCAAAACTCTGTGTCTCCACTCCAAGCCTAGGCATGGCAGGCCTCCTGAGAGATGACCTGGTTCACCCTGGGTTGGTGGCTGGGCCATCAAAACCTTAAGAGGCAGGACATCGATGCCTCTTCAGGTGTCCATTAGCTCACCAGCCTTACAACTGGACACACCCACCCTGCAGGACTTATGTAATACACTTAGCCCCCTGGCAGCTCACCGCAGTGCTAGCATTTGCTCTGGGGGACAGTAACTTATGCCCATGGCTCATGCTTCTGTTCTGAACTGCGCCCTTTTTGTTTTCTGTTCTAAACATAGGGTTTTGTTTTATTTTTTAATTACCCAACTAAAATAATTAGGCCGGATTCGAGGCAGACAAAAGCTAGCATGTTCAAAGAATGGAAGTGCATTTGCTAAAGAAGCTGTGCGTGTGTGTGTGTGGATCTGTGTGCGCAGATTTGGAGCTCGACACAGCTGCAGCCACTGATGGGGTTCAGCCGGCGCTCGGCTCTTCCTTCTCTTTTAATTGTTACCTGAACGTTTTTTCACAGCAAGGAGGTCGACTTCTCATTTTAATACGATGCATCTCAGGTATTCGGAGACGCCGCTCACTGGCTCGGGCTCTGTCAGTAACTCAAGCACGGGGACAACATGGGCAGGCTAATAAATATTTTGCCTTGGGGCAGCCGGCTATAATATTTTCTGCAAACATAGGACTTTATTTTTCCCCTAACAGGGGGTCTTGACTCCAGCAAGGAGACTCCGTCAAGGTTTATGGAGGTAATTAGATCTCCATGCTTCCTTTTTATAGTGGGGTTTAGGGCTCTGGGCCCGGGAGTGGTGAAGAAGCATCCCCCAGACTACATGCGGTGTCCCCACCCTGCCCTTGGCCCTGGCTCGTTGATACTGAAGTGGTGGCGTTGTTGGACACAGTGCAGGTGCCACAGACAATAAGCTTAGAGGAGGGATGCACATGTGTTGCCAAGGATTGTTTCTTCATATGACCAAAGAATCATGAGAACGTAGATGTAGTCAGCGGCTGGCAGCCCTCTCATGGTGATGGGCCAGGAGATACGTTTCTGGGGAGCTTGTTGATCACTCACAAGGGTGGACCGGACACCAGAGCCCAAGGTCCTTCCTCCCAAATTCATCTTGGGAATGGAAGGAAGTTCCAGATCCCCAAGGTGGGCCTCAGTTCCCAGAGAAGGAAAGAACAAAGATATCACTGGAAGCACCCGTTGACAAAGGGAAGTGAGCAGCTGACAATTCAACATAATCTCCCATTAAATACCAGCTCATTTAAACGTATCCCGTGGTGCCCTCCACATCTGGCCGGTGATTGGAGCTGGCAGATTTATTTCCAGAACCCGAGCTGGCCTGGCCCCCACGGCAGCCTGGCTCACTCCTGAGCAGGGGGGAGGGGGGCACTCCACTCCCTCTCACCAACCTGGGGGTGATCCTCGGAGATAAGGGTGTCCAGACTTTGTTACCACCTAATTATGAGATGTTTCATGTCTCCTCTCACGGGGGAGGATTATTCCTGGCATTTTCCTTCCCGTTCAACCGTCATAAATTTCAAGCGGGAAGAATAAATCTATGGATGGCGTGTCACTGATACTGTAAGCCCCTGTGTGTGGGAGAGATAAAGGCTTCAGGCTGACCCCTGGCTGGTCTCTCGCTTTCGTGCCCCAGGGGTTGCATGTTATGGAGCATGATTAAAGAAAATAAGCTTCATTCTGGGTCACTAAAACATTCCAGGACTTAAGAAGGAGAAGAAAGCGGGGAAAGGGGCCCTGGGCACACCTTTTTACTCTTTCTTTTTCTGCTTTCCTTTCCTAGATAGTTTGCTAGGAATAAAAGTCTCTGTTCCCCACCCCACTCTACCTACTCCACACACACCCCCACCCCCCACAGCCACCAGGCAAATGTGAAGGAGAAATCCCCCAGCATTTATGAAATTTAGCTTCACCCTGCAAGTGGGGATCCCACTCTCTTTCTTATCTCTCTCTCTCTCTCTCTCTCTCTCTCTCTCTCTCTCTCTCGCCAAATGGTTGTTTATCCAACTCGGAAACAAATATGCTGAAAATATGAGGAAATTTTCAAATGTCTTTTTAGTCCATTGAATATTCTCCTAATGGTGATAGCAGAGAAGTGCCATCTGATGTTTTAATTGAAATTTTAACCAAAAGAGGCATGGCCAGATTTCTAATGTGTTCTAACTACAGTACTTCCACTTTCTACAATTACACAGCTAATGCCTGCATTGAATTCCCTAATTTCTCATTATAAAACAATTGGATTTCATCTCGCGGTCTTTAATTGCATTGTTTCTCCAACTAGAATAACGGCCCATTCTTCTTGGTAGGATGTTGAAGTTGGTGAATGACAAATCAATAAAGGTCATGCCATTCCGATTTCATCAATTATTATTCCATCTCTAAGCTCAATCAATGGAGGACCTGAAGTTTCGTTGTTTAAAAAATAAAAGGGGGGGGGTGAGTCACTATTGTTATGGACAATCTCCCCAAACTGTACCCCATAGCATCCCAAAAAAAAGAAAGAAAGAAGAGAAATCAGTAAACCATTTTAGATACACCCCCACTTTTCTTGGTAGAGCTAATCCCAATGGTTATGTCAGAAAAGTTTGGATGAGTACTAGCAGGAGCAGGTAGTGGGAGATGGGAATAGAGGTTGTCTTTTAACCCACCTATGTGATTCTGAGGAGACCACCACGACTCGGGCGGGGGCCGAGTGGCACAGGACGTCCTGAAGGAGCTGGACCAGGTAGAAGTGCCCCAGGTGGTTCACCTGGAAGGTGGTCTCCAGGCCGTCTTTGGTGAGGCTCCACGGCAGTGCAAAGGCCGCTGCGTTGCAGACAAGCACGTGAAGAGGCCTGGAAAGTAAAGAGCCAACGTTGGTTGAGTGGCCGAGAGCATTCTAGAACCAGGAGAACCGCTAGTCCCCCGACATCAGCCGACTCTTCATGATTCCAACCGGTCAGAGGGACAGGCCCTACAAGGCAGGTTCTTCAGCAGCCGGAACGGGCCGAGCAAGGTTGGCATGGGCCCTGAATGGGGGCACAGCTGAGTTGGTTTGCTCGAGATGAGAGGTTTGCTGCGCTGTGGGGCTTTCCAGGAGAAAGCAAAACCAAGCGCACTCAGGGCGGCGTTGCCACCTGGCGACCCCGAGTGTGGTCTCAGTGCTTTCCACGGCTGATTCTGTGGAAGGCTACTGACCCAGCAACACATTTGCATCCAGGGTGGGGTTGTGCAGGAACTCTGAATGCTGAGTTCACCAATGTGCACTTTTATCCTCCTTGTGGCAAATCACCCTTGCTCTTTGAACTTCTGGCTACTTTCTGTCAAATAGGGCCTTAAAGTTGATGGTGCTTGGTAGAAAGAGCTACGGGTCCCAGGGCAGTGACATGTGGGTAATATTTCCTATAGGGTTGCTCTGTGTCGACTCGATGGCAGCGAGTTCGGTAGGGAGCTCTGTATCTCAACAATACTTTCATTTGCAAATAGATTGAAAGTCAGATTCCGCTTCAGAAAAACGTCTCCTGGCTCTGTGTCTGCCCACCGGCAACCATCTGATTGTGTTCCCATCTTTTATCCCTCCCAGTCTAAGACTGTGGTATTTAAAACTCTCTCTCTCTCTCTCTCTCTCTCATATACATGCAGACACACACACTGTCTCCATAAAAACTAATGTAAGGACTCAGAGTAAAGAGGGAGCAAGATGTCAAACGTGGTCAAGCAGATAAAGAACCGATACTTGCACGATGTAAAGAGCTCTCACAAATCAGCAACGAGGCTCATGCTAAATACCTAATAGAAACAATGGCAAACACAATGGTAATTGTTGATGAATTCGCTTGTAAACAACTGGGCTTAGAGCTATCGCACCAATCCAACCAGCAGCAGGAAAGAACCCAAGAGGAGATCTTGTTTACCTCATGGATGAGCAGATTTATAATATCATGTTTATGTATTTACCACCTTAGGAACACAGAGCTGGTGGGAATAGATATTCCTGCATGCTGGACATTACAACTGAAAGTACATTATCAAGAGAATTAAAACATTCCCACTTGACTCGTGGTTCCCCCCACAGAGCAGTAGAGTGTGGAAGGGACGGCACAGGGAGAGAGGACCACCCGTCAGGGAGGTTGGGTTTACAGTAGTTGATGTGGGGTAGTAATAAAGAGAAGACTGACATTTAGTCAGATTCATTGTTGCTTCTGAATTCTCTGTGAACAACACTCCCCATTTTGTCAGTGGGGCAAATGAAGAGCATCATTTGTAGAAGGTATGCACTGTGGCTTGAACCCATAGCATGGAAGTGTGCCCTCTACAAAACATGTGTTGTATATCCCAGTCTGGTTTGGAAAAGGGCTCTCTTGCTTATATGAACACGGCAGGCAGGACTAGGGTAGGGTGCATTTTAAATGAATCTCTTTTGAGAGGTAGAAGGGCACATTAAGCAAGCACAGATGGCGAAGATAGATGTCACATCACAGAGATCTCCAAGGAGCCAGAAAACAGAAGTTGAAAAGAGACAGGGGCCTTCTCTCGGACCCCACAGAGAGAGAGAGAGAGAGAGAGCCTGCCTCCGTAGTCGGTGCCCTGCACTCAGACATCCACTCTGTTAACCGCTGAGAAAACACATGTAAGTCCCTTAAACCCACTCACCTGACACCCAAGAGTGTGCCACCAAGTTTGCATGGGGATGAATGGTGGGCCCCTAAAAGATACGTCCACCCAGAACCTGTCATAGTCCAAGTTACTTCCCTGGCTGCAGTTAACCTAAGTGATGTCGTGCAATCTCTATGGGGATTTCATAAGTCGTTGCAGTGCTCAGAGGCAAACAGGCTGAATGTGGTTGTCACCTGAAAGGACCAGGTAACTCTGAGAATCTTTTCTTATTTGCCTGACTGTTCAGAACTCAAAAGCTAGCCCCTATTTTCTAGCCAGTCAGCAGAGACCTCCTGAGATTGGTCTGAGACTTAAGGACCCTGACACTTCAGTGGGTCTGCTCTGGGTCAACAACTGCTTCCCATGGTTATCCTGACTCCCCTGGGGTGGGAAGTCCACACGAACAAGTGTATATGCATTATATATTCTGATCCCCAACAGGACTCCATCAAGGCAGCCCGCGATGTTGCCGGCCTCCTGCCTGGTGTCCCCATTCTAAGACACTTCTCATTTCCTCTCTCACTTAGATTAGTGAATTGGCTCTGAATAGGGTGCTGTCCCTTATTAGCAGTAACACTGTGAATGTGACCTTCTTTGGAGAAAGGGACTTCGCAAATGCAACTAAGTTAAGATCCTGCTGATTCGGGTGGGTCCTCAATCTAATGGCAAGCATCACAAAAAGGGCAATGTGATGGTATTGGTGGAGATCGCCATGATGTGTCCACCAATCCAAGAACACCAAGGACCACTGGCAGCCACCAGAGCTGGAAAAGAAGCATGGGAAAGACACCCCTCTACTTCCAGAAGCAACCAGCCCTGCCAACACCTTGGCTTTGGACTTCTGGCCTCCAGAACCCCGGGGAACACCTTTCTCACATTTCCTGTGGGCAAGTCCGTGATCACTCAGGGTCGGTCCTCAGACACAAATATGGCCAGCATTCACCTCTCTCCTCGCCCACACATGTCCTCAGGGAAACACAAGCCACATCACACAAGGCAACGTGTTGCCCATGACCGCAGCCTAGAGGCATGGACCCACAGAGGACCTGGCAAACTCTTTCCTCTCTCACCCAATTTTCATTCCCTTCATTAATGTTAATTGCACAGCACCAGAGGCAAAATGTGTACCTTGTACCTAAAACCTGTCCCTTCTATTAATTAAAAACAGGCTTATGGAATACAAAACTATAAAGTGCTTGACTTTTTCTTTTTTAATTGTAAAGACACTTAATTGGCTTGTACAGAAGAAAAAGAATCCCTCTCCCCTCGCTTTAATGAGGTCTTTATTATTCAAATGGTGCGTTTTGCTCAGTTTTGACTAAAAGACACTGATTCAAAAGACTCTGTGATGATGAATATTTACAGAATATCAAAAGGAAAGTTCAGACTATGTAGACAGGAAGGAAGCAGAAATAGCATCATATGATCCCAAGCCCAAGGCTGATGCAGTCAGTCAGCACGTTAAGGGAATGGGTTTGGGCTTTTCTTTCGTTTCCTTTTCTTCCTTTCTGAGAAAGAAAAGACGTCTTCCTGGTCTTCACGTGCCCATGTAATTCCCTCCCCATAAGCGTGGGCTAAGAGTCCTGGTGGCATAGTGGTTTCCAGTTGGTGCGTGTGAGTTGGGCTGCTAACTGCAACGCCAGCAGTTTGTAACCACTAGCTGCTCCATGGGAGAAAGATGGAGCTTTCTACTCCTGTGAAGTTAGTCTTGGAAATCCATAGGAGCAGGGGTTGACATCCACTCCATGGCAGTGAGTTTGGTTTGGATTGGCTGGTTTGGTAAGTATGGGCTGGCCCAATACACACACACACACACACACACACACACACACACACCACCCCCAAAACTCACTGCCCTCCAGTCAAGGCTGACTCATAGCAATCGTCTGTGCGTTTCTGAAAAGATAACTGTTTATGAGAGTACCAAGCCGTCTTTCTCCCTCAGGGCTTCTGGTGGTTTTGAACTGCCAGTCATGCCCAACGCATACCCACTACACCACCAGGGCCCAACAGACAGAGAACAGCAAAAATGATGCCATTCCAAAGAAGAGTTTACAAACACTTCTGCCTGTCCCCAAGCTGTCTCTGCTCCATGGTGACGATGAGAACAGAGACTTTTGGACAGCGGTGTCCTTGGTAACACAATGTTACACTGCCCTCTACTCCCTGCTCTTCCCAGTGCTTCCTCTGCTCGCACCAGTGTCCCGAAGCTGGAGCTAATGGGAACTCAATGTCCTCTGCACCACAATCTCTCCTTCTCAAGGACTCCTCAGATGGCACTGTCCCCTCTAAGAAGCCTTGAAGCCAAGGTTTAGCTGGAAATAAACCATCACCTCCTTCCCCTGAAGGCCCAAATGCTCCCTCCCTAGGCCTTTTGCAGGATTGGCAGAAAAACGACACCACCAGAAGATCCAAGCTGCAACAGACAACCTTGTGGGGCAGGCTGTGGGGCAGGCGGCAGCACCAGCTCTCTTCTGATAGAAGAAAGTAAGCTTCCCTGCCCTTCAGGTCCCCTCCCCTTCCCTGCCCCGAGTGCACCATGCTGTCAGCAGGATCTGGGCCATGTTCCTTTGCCATCCTCATGGACGTCTCCATTCCTTGCTGACTCCTCTGAGTGTCCGGTCTGTGGGATTTCTCCTAAGTTGTCTCCCCCAAATATATGCCAAACCCAAGATGCTGCTTGCTACACATGGTAAATGGCTGTACACTAGGAGGTCAACAAAAGCATGTCAGAGGTTGTTCTCCCTAAGGGTCGTCAGCCATCTAGAGCAATCAGACTGTATAGTCTGTCACACCCTAAGTAAGAACCACTCCCTTCTGGTAAGGATAGTAGATTGTTTCCCTGAAGAAGAGCCCAGCCAGGGCAAGTCCACTTAAGGGTGACCAAGGTTAGGCTGCTATATTGAGTCTAGAGTCCACCCATCTTGTCACATGTGTACCCCTAATCCCCACCTTTCTATTGTGTGTAAACCCTAGCTCATCCCCTTCCTGTCACACGTATGCCTATTGTACAGCCCCTTCCTGTGATGTGTGTGCTTACCTATAATCATGCCTTCAAAGATATATAAGCCTTGGTTAGAAACAGACGCTCTCTCCTGCCCTCTCTCAGACCTGCCTGTTGAGATCATGGCGGTCCAGGAGGTGAGCATGCTACCCTTAAATATCTGACTCCTTTATTTTACCTTCTCTTCTATCTCTC